TAAAGATAATACCACAGCTTCAAAACATGGCTAAATCTGTGTCCAATATTCTCCGACTAAACAGGCAGTAATTTATATAACACACCAGAAAGATTTACAATTAAAATGGCTAAAATGTAAAAATTTTGGTGCTTGAAAGAATTTCAAGTTATCTGACTAAAACACCCACACATGTGAAGCAACTCTCTACTAAAGTCAGAAAGCTGAAAGAGGGAGCCAAGAGCCACATAATATTTTTGTTGTTTAAACAATAAAAGGCCAAACTGTATTCTACCTGAGACTTGGGATTTTAGATGAGGGCTTCCATTCCATAAGCTACTATACAGTCTCTAGAACTTCGTGTACTATCTCACACACACACACACACACACACACACAAAATACACAGTAATATATGTCATAGCGTAGTATAAGCCCGTCACAAATTTGAATTATTCCTTTCAGTTCACGAAGCACTTCCACCAGTATTTTCTCATCAGCTCTGAATAATCACGAGGTAAGGCAGATAACATCTACCCTTAGAGCTGTTGTGAGAATCAGACATAATCTGACCAAACTTTCCTTCAGAGGGTCTTGTAAACAGCAGGTGCTCAATTAACGTTAGATTTTTCTTATATATCAGACACTGATGCTTTAAAAAAAAAAAAAAGGAAAAATTTTGAGTGAATTTATAAAGCTCACTGGTCTCCCAGCCTCACTTCCTGTGTTTCTCACCAACACACCATTTCTACAAAGCATTTACTGACCCAGTTTCCTCATGATTCATTTTCAAGAAAATTTCTTGTACCCAGAATTGCATTAATTCACTCACAGTATCTGAGTGCTTTCTACGTGTCAGTCACTGTTAATATTGCAGTGAACAAACCTGACATTGGTCCTGCTCTCAGGAAGTTGATATTTTAGTGTGAGAAGACAAGCAACAAATAAGTAAGAGAATTTCAACAGTAACAAGGGCCCGACTGGGTGATAAAAGGGTCAATGAGCAGTTGGAAAGTACTTGTGAGGTAACACATGAATCACACGTAAATGACAAAGTATATGGAACTCTGACTTTTTCACTTATTAATAACATACTTTACCTTAAATCAAATAAAGGAGGAATGAGGTAGCTAACAACTGTAAACTATAAGATAACTTTTTACATAAGGGGAAAAACAAAATTTAAAAGGAAATAAATTCGATGGTAATCAGTTTTAAACACTGAACTATGAAAGATACAAGTATTTTACAATTTGGGGCACTTGGGTAGCATAGTGGGTTAAGCATCCAACTCTTGGTTTTGGCTCACGTCGTGGTCTCTGGGTAGAGATCAAGCCTTGTGTCTGGCTCGAGTCTCAGTGCTCCCCCACAGTCTGTCCTTCTTCCTCCCCCTTGGGCCCCTTCCCCACGTTTGCTTGCACACATGCACGCACACTTTCTCTAAAATAAATAAATAAAATCTTGTTAAAAAATTTTACAATTTTGTCTTCAAGTTATCATCTCAGTGAGAAAAGAAAAAAAAACAGTAAACCATTAATGAACAGTCTATGATCACGTGCCAAGATGAGCGATACAAGCTGTCATCATTAGAAGTTCAGACAAAGGAAGAAATCAATGTGGACCAGAACAATACTTCTCAAATATTAATATGCTATAAATCACCTGATACAGGAGATCAAGACAGGGGCCTAAGATTCTGAGATACTGAATTTCTAACAAGGTACCAGATGAGGCTAATTTTACTTGTCATGCTGATCCATGGTAAGATTCAAACTGATTTGGGGGAATGACATGGGTTTTACATGAAAAGTTCAACAGGAAAGATTAGTTTGCTCTTTTCTAGGAACAATGAGATCACCTGAGTGCAATGAAGAGCCACTCCTCCATTCCAAGAGGACAGATACACTGAGCACTGACTCCACACAGGAGTAAAAATCTCATTGGCAAGTCTAATGGAAGAGACAATTAAAAGATTCTGGGGAAATACCATTTCACACAGGAAAAACAAGCCATCTAACTGTCCATTAATGGTCAGATGAGGACTATTATGTCATATTCATACAATAAGGCACTCTATAGTAATGAAAAGGAATGCTACAGTCTACCTACAGTCTAGAATGGACTAATCTCAAAAACAATGTGAGATATGCATTTATGACTCAAGACACAGGAGAACATGTACTATGATTTAATTCATATTTCATTCATACTATTAATATAAACAAGCAAAACAAAATAAATTATTTAGAAATACTCTGTACAGTGAAACTATAAAGAAAACCCAATCCCTGAACTAAAGCTCACAATAGTGATTACAGGGTGCAGATTAGGGTTAGGAGGAAAGGATGAAATAGGGAAAGAGGTTCCAAAGATACAATGTTCTATTTCTCACGCTGAATGGCAGGTAACTCGTTTATTTTGTGATTACTTAAATTATGTATCGTAGATACTATTTTGCATGTGTGATATATTTTGATATTCTGTATAGTTCTTTGTGAATGCTATCAATGATTTTTCTAAAACCTAAATCAGGGAATTATTGGTGATGGAAATTCTAACAACAGTGAGTTGAATAAAGAATGGAAAACCACAATTACAGATAATTCTTTAACCGTTAACTTCAAGAGGAAAAAAAGTGGAAACTAAGAATGGAACACAGAGCTGTTAAGTGAAGAAGAGAACTAAACATCGTAATATGGTAAAGTCCTGACAATGTTCACATGTTAAGCAGAAGGTGATATTAAAGATACAAAAGATTTAGTGAAGCAGAACCAAAGGTAGGAAAGGAAAGGTTCGATACAAGAAGAAAAACAGGTCTTGGCCACTAACAAGATGCCAGGAACAAATGTGATTAAACATCACACTAACCAAATAGTCCTGTGTTGCTGGAACGTATACTTCGTATGAGGCTTGGAAATAGCAGGAAATTAAAATCTTGGTAGGCCTTGAATTCATTGCAACATCACTGTAAACATTTCAGGAAGGAAGTTAACAAGATCTAAACTTTCACAGTAAGTGAAATGTTTTAATTGAAGAATGAATAATAGACTGAACAGGGCTAAGAGAACAAATCAAGATACCATTAGAACAATCTATAAAAGATATCAGGACATGAACTAGGAGCAGTACAAAAATGAGGGGCACCTGGGTGGATCAGTCATTAAGGGTCCAACTCTTGATTTCTGCTCAAGTCATTATCTCGGGGTCATGGGATCAAGCCCCATGGCTGGCTTACACTCACTGGGGAGTCTCCTTCTCTCCCTCTCCTCCCGCCCTCCCCCACACCTGCTCACATCCCCCCAAAATAAATAAATAAATAAATCTTTAAAAAAAATAAAACAAAGTGTTTTATTCATTCATTTATTGTATATTTATTCTACATATTCTATATTTCTTCTATATATCAGTTAAAAGGTTCTGCATTGAAAACATAACACGTGAAAAAGCACAGTCCCTTGCCTGCCATCAGTAGCTTACATTCTGGTTTGGAGTCAAACAAGAAAACAAATAAGACAGTTACAGTCAGTGGAAAATGCTATGAAACAGAGTGGTATGATGGAGGATGATGGGGAGGGAGCTACATTAAACAGGGCTGGTAGGCAAAGCCTTTCTTAACATGGAGCATTTAAGCCAAGGACCTAAAGAATCAAAAGAAGCCACCAAGTAGGAAGAATACTTGAGTATTTCAAAAAGAGGAAACAACTAAAATACCTGTGAATGAAACCTAGAATGAAGTAGGAGGTGAGTCTGGAGAAAGAGGCAAGAGTCCCAGGACCTTAAGAAGATGGTAAGAAATCTGTATTTTATTCCAAGTGGATATGGTTGATCGCACACAGGTAGATGAGAAGCAGATGAATCTGACATATTTTGGAGGTGGAACCAACAGGATTTACTGAGGGGGGAAATGTAGGTTACTGCCTAGGTTTTCTAACTTGTTCAAATGGTTAGATGGTAGCTCCATTTACTAAGACAGGAGAGCCTAAGGTAAGACCAAGGAGGGGGAGAGAGGAAGAAAGGGGAGATGGCAATAATCTTATTTTGGTCAAGTTAAATTTGAGATGCCTATAAGATACCCAAAGAGCGATGTCAGGAAGGCAGGGGTATTTAAGAGTGGCATGTGAAAACCAAGTATGGCAAGAAATAAAAATCTAAAGGTTATCAGAATATAAATAACATTTAAAGCCATAAGAAAGGAACTTGAGGATCTACTACTGTAACTTCTTGTAACACCAATAATAACACTGAAGCAATTAAGATTAAATGGTAACTTACTATGTCTCAAACACTGTTCTAGTTATTGACACATATGCAGCCAATTTCAATCCTCAAAACAACTAAAATAAGTATAAAGAGATTAACTTAACTAATGTCATTCAGCTAATTTTAGAAATAGGACTCAAACCCAAGCAGCCTGGCTCCAGGAGTGTGCTTTTACCTACTTTTGTTATACCATGTAAAGCAGAGACCTGATAGAAGGATGCCTAAAGCCCAATCTCGAGGCACTCCAACATTCACAGAGAGGGAAAGGAGAAGCCCATATAAGAGATGTTTATTCCCGCTACGTAGTTTCAGATAAACGCTGAACCAGCAGGCTCCGAAGTGGCTACAAAGTAAATCTCCACTTGGGAAGTTACGGATGTCAGGTCCCAGCTGAGAAGCAATGAAGTTTACCCACCTTCCAAAAGCCCTAGGTTCGCAGATCCTTCTCGACATCTCCTTCACCTATTTGTCCTCCTAAAGAGTCTTTCTCCAAATCCAGACATCTCAAGACAAGACCCCAGGAATCTGTCACACACCCCTAGCCTCTGTTCCCTGTCTCAGCCCTCAACTCCCCCAACAGGTGGCAGAGAAAGCTTCTGCGCCTCCCAGCAAAAAGTGAAGATGAAAGAGAAAGATTTTAGGAAAAAACCTTGTCCCAGTCTCACCCGGCCCAGGGGGAGGCTGCCAAGCAGCGCGTCTGGCGGGACTGAACTAAGGACTGAGCTCCCCACGTGGGCCTGGGGAAACGGAACCCCACTCACCAAGCCATCTATCTGCACTTGCTTCACAGCCGAATCTCCGGACCCGCCTTTGCCTTTGCCTTTCCCCGCCGGGCCGGTGGTGGAGCTGGAAGAAGTGGCAGCAGAGCCGGTGCCTTCCTTGCGGGACGCCATCTTTTCAGCCAGACAGGAAAAAAGAGAAACGTGAGTGACCGGAAGCGGAAGTACGGGCTTTACGTGACGTCACGCACAGTCGAAGGGGCGGAGCTGGGAGGAAAAGCCGGAGTGGAGCTCCGCCCCGCATCTCCTTTCCAGCCTCGCCTTCTTTGCGGAGGTAATTCTTTGCGCATGTGCATTTTGCCTTTGCGGCTTCTTTCTCACCAAAAGGTTTGAGACAAAATTAGACTTTTTAGAATATTTTCAACCATATGTTTAGTCGGTCGCCATTAGTCAGTTGACCATAGCAACATTATAGCTCTTGTTTATTGTAGCTTCTCACCTAAAAACAAGTTCACTTTTTTTTTTTGATCAATCCCCATTCCCAATCTTATAAACTATGAAGAGCTGTACAACTCCCACCACACATATTTGGAAACTGAGACGTGATTTGTCCAACGTTATCCTGTTAATTAGCGGTGAGCTGGTATTGCAGTTTGTTTTAGGTAATTTTAGGTAGCAGTCTCTAACCACTTAGATTATACAGAAATTAATTAGAATATAGGAACTTTAATCAGAATAACGAAAATTAATAGTCCTTTGCTGCTATTGGTTTCATGCAGGATTTACATGAGGAAAGTACTAAAGAAGCTATTTTATGTACCGTGTCCAAGGATAATGCAGAGCATACTCTTTAAAAATTACGCTGATTGGGGCGCCTGAATGGCTCAATGGGTTGAGGCCTCTGCCTTCAGCTCAGGTCATGATCTCAGGGTCCTGGGATCTAGGACCCCATCGGGCTCTCTGTTCGGTGGTGAGCCTGCTTCTTCCTGTCTCCCTCTCTGCCTGCCTCTCTGCCTACTTGTGACCTCTGTCTGTCAGATAAATAAATAAAATCTAAAAAAAAATAAAAATAAAATTACGCTGACTTACAGTTCTCTGAAATACAGAACCGAAGTCTTTAAAACAATACGTGACAGCTTTAGCAAATCACTTTAGATAAGGAGTTTAAGACATTCTTTCCATGTTTCCAAATTTTGCCAATTGCTTATTTATGAAATATTTAATCATTCAATAGATGTCTATGCAGAACTGATAATTCCCAAATTTATTTTTCCCTAGACCTCTCCACTGAAGTCCACACCAGCATGTCCATCTGCCTATGCAACTTCTCTACATAAATGTTCAATATGCACCACCTTTTTAACCTTTCCAAAACTGAGCTCCAAATACCACCTCCCCCCACATAGTCTTCCTCATCTCATTTGGTGAGAGCTCGATTATTCCAGTTGATTAGACCAAAAACCTTGGAGTTATCTTTGACTTCTCTTTCCCTCACACCCTTACAGGAAACCCTAGCTCCGATGTACAGGAAAGGGAATTCTAGGAATTATGATTCCAGCTTAGAGAAAGTTGACATAGTACAAATCCACCCCAACTGTAGGACTATAGGCTTTCTAAAAATCATTTCGAATATAATGACATAGGCACATTGAAAGTAAAATGATGGGAAAAGTATATCACGTAAATGTTAAGCAAAAGAATGCAAGAGTGGATATATTAACACCAGATAAAGGAGAATTTGGAGCAAAGGAAATCACCAGAGACAGAGGAAGAAATTATATAATGATAAAATGGCCAATCACCAAAAACACATAGTAATTCTAAATGTGTATGTCCTAGTAATAAAGCTGAGTTTCTGTAAAGAAAGAACTCCTAGAACTCGAAGAATAAATAGACAAACACATAGTCATAGTTAGAGATGTCAACTCCCCTTTCTCAACAATTGACAGAATAACTAGAGAGAAAATCAGCTAGGGTTTAAAGGAACTCAGCAATACCATCAACAGGATCTAATCAACAATATAGAACATTCTACCCAACAACAGAATGCACATTCATTTTGTTATTTTCAAATGTCCATGGGATATATAAACCATATCCTGAGCCATAAACAAAACTCAATGAATTTAAAAGAACTGAAATCGCACAGAATACGTTCTCCAACCACAATCGGTTCAAACTACAAGTCAAAACATAAAGGTAACAGAAAATTTTCCAAATACTTGGAAACTAAACAACATGCTTCCAATAACCCATGGATCAAAGAGGAAGTCTTAAGGGAAATTTAAATACACACACACACACACATTGAACTGAATGAATATGAAAATATAAAACGTCAAAAATTGTGAGACACAGCTACATCAATGCTAAGAGAAAAGTTTATAGCTAAATGCATACTATATGAAAAAGGAACTATCTCCAGTCAATAACCAAAGCTCCCTCCTCAAGATCTTAGAAAAATAAGAACCAAATACCTCTAAACCATACAGAAAAATTTAAATAACAGATTGTAGCAGAACACAGAATTTTCTATACTGATCACCCAAAGAAGGTTAGTCACAGTCATTAAATTGTATTTCTGCCTCCAAAAAAAGCAGTTTGATGTTGCAGGTACTAATACCATTGTAGCTATTCATTTATAGGCCAAAATAAATTTACCCTGTGTTTGTAATAATATGTTCTTCATTTTTTCTGTCACAGGAACTAAACTTTTTAGCATACTTCTATATTTGTTGAAAATATTTCAAATTTAGTCAGAGGCAAAATGAGAGAGGATGGTGAAGACCTTCCAAAGCAAGCTGTGGGATGTGCCCATGGGTGACTACCACCTAGGGACAGAAAGCAAAGAATAGCTTGTCATACCTGAATGAAAAAATGAAAAAATAAACAGTCTGACCAGTTCTGCCTTTGTGGCATGTAACTCTACCCACTAGGAAAACACAGCCCAGTGAATGTCAGACTGACCAGTCCAGCCATGCCTTAGAACCAGCCAGTGTTGGAACCGCCTTCCCTCACTTGGCTAAAGCTTACTTAAACCCCTTTCAATGTAGTAAACTGAGAGTCAAGACTCCAACGGTGAGCCAAAAGGATTTTTTTAAATGTCACTTTATTCTTATTTGGTATACAGATTAGCCAAAGGGTTTTTTAAAATATCAGTTTATTCGGGCACCTGGGTGGCTCAGTGGGTTGAGCCTCTGCCTTCAGTTTAGGTCGTGGTCTCAGGGTCCTGAGATCGAGCCCCGCATCGGGCTCTCCACTCAGCGGGGAGCCTGCTTCCCCCTTTCTCTCTGCCTGCCTCTCTGCCTATTTGTGATCTCTCTCTCTCTCTCTGTCAAATAAATAAAATAAATAAAATCTTTAAAAAAAATAAAATATCAGTTTATTTCTATTTAGTTGTTGCCATCTATATGGAAGGCAAGGTTCCTTTGGACATCTGATAAGTCTTGGGACCTGAGCTGAGCAGCAATCTTGGTCATGGAGTAGATAGGTATAGGATGGTCTCTGTGTCTCTGTCTGCTCAGGGCTCACAGCTAACCTTTATAGGATCAACTTGGCATTTGATCTTGATTTTGAGGAAGGAAATGGGTAGAAAGTAATCTGATCTTACTATTTACTGTCCCTTTGGGAAGTAACTGTGTATTCATGACATAGAGCTAAGGGGTCCTCCTTCTCTAGTACCCATTGGAAACAAAAGAAGCAAGGAAACTTTCAAAGCTTTCAGCATAAGATTCTGTAAGGGATATATGTTCTTACCTCTTCTATATAGATTCTTTTCTAGCAAAGGAGCACAAAGATCTTTTCTTTTCTTCTCTTGGGAAAGAGATGTGATTATGTGATGGTTATGAGGTCTCCAAAATATCAGATTATACCTTCCTTCTTTTAGGAGTCACAAGTATCAGGGAATAGAGAGAAACAGGAAGCCTACCCTCCAACGACACTCATTCATGAGGAGGGGATCAGAAACTCCCTATTCTATGGAAATGGGAGGGAAGGGCAATTTCTCCCCCTCCCTAAGAGACTATACAGGGTCATCATAATAAACAAGCCAGGTCTACACACAAAAATTAGAAGTTAGCAAAGCCAGAAGAAAAAACATGTAAATAGGGAAAAACTAAAGTTCTGGATTAAGTTAGTATACTTTTTAGAAGTCCGCAAACATTCATTTGGCCAAAGAAAATCATCTGGCTTAAAACCCTAAACACTTTACTTAATATTTAACTAGAGTGGAAAAGACACCTTTGAGAGATGCTAAAAGCAGATAATAACAATAGGTTTCTGCATCCTAGCTTCTTCACAATGTTGTCCGGGATAAAACAAGAACATATGCAGAACGTCTTAAATTTCCTTAAAGCAAGGTGTTACACAAGCAATACCATCATTTTTCCTTTTACTTATTTTTTTAAAGTAACTTCTATGCCCAAACTGGGGCCTAAACCCACAACTCCATGACCAAGAGTTGCACGTTCCACCAACCGAGCCAGCTAGCCACCCCTATAATTTTTCCTTTTAAAAGGTATTTTTTGGGGTGTGCTGGATTTAGCAAATATTCCATCAGTTAGGTCACATTGGGCTGCAAGTAACAAAAAACAAGTACACAAAATCCCAATTTTAATTATTTTAAACAAGAAGGAGATGTACTCTATCACATAGCTAAATGTCTAGAGGAGGGCATATTGCAAATAAAGTAACATAAATTCTCCAGTTCCATATCATTATGATACCCTTGACTCTGGTTTCTAACATGTTTTGGTTCTGTCCATAAACTGGCTACCCCCATAATTTCAAAACAGCTGCCAGTAGCAATGCACACAATGCACTTCTTTTTTTATGTTTATTGCAAGAAAAAGAAAACCTCTCCTCCAGCCATGGGGAAAAAAGATCTTTCTCTTTAGTCTGATTGGGATCAATTTAAATCATGTGCTTCCTTCTGTGTACATGTGGAGTGAGAGGCCATTGTTTGAAGAGCTAAGTAATTTGCTCAGTATCATGAAAGGAACAACAGAGGGGGTAAAGACAGAGCCAATAAAAAGAAAATAATATTGATTTATACATATGACCCAGATGTGGGCATTTCCTATATGTTTGTTAAAATAATAATAATTTAAAAAACAACATTTGGCCTTCTTGTCCCAGTATTTTGATATATGAATTACCAACTAATATTAAAATAAGGTGATATAGCATTGAAAATATTTGCACAGATTCTAAGAGTGACTTTTATTTTGTATAATATAACATAATTAATACCTTGTATTGGTGTAATTTAATTATAAATATGAGACTTTGAAATAATATTCTACTGGATTATTGAAAGTC